TCTATCTATCTATTTCTAGTCTGTTCTATCTATCTATCTATCTATCTATTTCAGTCTGTTCATCTATCTATCTATCTATCTATCTATTTCAGTCTATCTATCATCTATCATTCATCTATCTATCTATTTCAGTCTGTTCATCTATCTATCTATCTATCTATTTCAGTCTGTTATTATCTATCTATCTATTTCAGTCTATTTCATTATCTATCTATCTATCTATCTATTTCAGTCTGTTTCATTATCTATCTATCTATCTATTATTTATCAGTCTATATCTATCTATCTGTTATCTATCTATTTCAGTCTGTTCATCTATCTATCTATCTATCTATTTCAGTCTGTTCATTATCTATCTATCTATCTATCTATCTATTTCAGTCTGTTTTATTATCTATCTATCTATCTATCTATTTCAGTCTGTTCATTATCTATCTATCTATCTATCTATTTCAGTCTGTTCATCTATCTATCTATCTATCTATCTATTTCAGTCTGTTCATTATCTATCTATCTATCTATTTCAGTCTATTTCATCTATCTATCTATCTATCTATCAGTCTGTTCATTATCTATCATCTATCTATTTCAGTCTGTTCATTATTTCATCTATCTATCTATCTATCTATCTATTTCAGTCTATTTCATCTATCTATCTATCTATCTATCTATTTCAGTCTGTTCATTATCTATATATCTATCTATTTCAGTCTGTTCATTATCTATCTATCTATCTATCTATTTCAGTCTGTTCATTATCTATCTATCTATCTATTTCAGTCTGTTCATTATCTATCTATCTATCTATCTATTTCAGTCTGTTCATTATCTATCTATCTATCTTTCAGTCTGTTCATTATCTATCTATCTATCTATCTATTTCAGTCTGTTCATTATCTATCTATCTATCTATTTCAGTCTGTTCATTATCTATCTATCTATCTATTTCAGTCTGTTCATTATCTATCTATCTATCTATCTATTTCAGTCTGTTCATTATCTATCTATCTATCTATTTCAGTCTGTTCATCATCTATCTATCTATCTATTTCAATCTGTTCATTATCTATCTATCTATTTCAGTCTGTTCATTATCTATCTATCTATCTATCTATTTCAGTCTTTTCATTATCTATCTATCTATCTATTTCAGTCTGTTCATTATCTATCTATCTATCTATTTCAGTCTGTTCATTATCTATCTATCTATCTATTTCAGTCTGTTTATTATCTATCTATCTATCTATTTCAGTCTGTTCATTATCTATCTATCTATCTATTTCATGCTAACCATTTCTTCTCTTGCATTTTTTGCTTGTGGAACTCTCTTCTGGCTTCTTGCTTTTCAGTAAATTTTGATCTTCAAAAATGTGAAAAACAATGTCCAATGTTATCTTCTGTCTTCATAGTTCCTCTTCTTTTATTGTTCTCTCTCCTTAATAATGTATTTTTTCTCATCTTCTCTAACACTCAGTAACTCCTTGTATTTTAGTGGCTTTATTTCCTTGCCTGGAGTGAAATGATTAAAAAAAATAAAGAAAAAGCAGAGTTGAAATCAAAATGTCTCCTGATTTAAATGTTGACCAATATCTTCTTTACTTTGCTTCTCACTAATATGCTTTGAATGAGACATATTCCTAAGAAATGAAACACAGTCATGGCATTCATCGTGTTGTTGGGCAATAAAAGAAAGCCATAATCAGTTATTGATGATATTAACTGTACATAAATGAATGGTGTGCAATTGTTTGAAGAAAAGAAACCTTTCATTAATAAGAACGTACTGCTTTCTTCAAAGCAATATGTACTGATTAAACATGACAAAATAAATAAATCAGTAATTTGGAAAGGATCTGTTAGTTTGGATGCAAGAAAATCCAATGTCTAGATTGGAAACTATTGATGAGACAAACTTTGAGTCTAAGGAAGGGCAAAGCATTAATTCAATCAAAAGGGATTTTTAATTGATTGAGTTGTTTTTTACAACTTATCAACCTTTATTTGGTTATTTAAAAGCCAAAACATATTTTTGGATTCTAAGAAGAATTCTTTTTGTGTGAGTAAATATAGGAACCCCTTGATTAGTGTGGCTAATGTGTATATTGGTAACTATAAAAAAAGTCAATTTTCAGTTACTATGGTTAAACTGAAGAATGTTTTAGCAAACTAATCGAATATTATATATGCACTATTTTAGGATATAGAAATTTTAGCACACTAATTGAATATTATATATGCACTATTTTAGGATATAAAAATTTTAGCACACTAATCGAATATTATATATGCACTATTTTAGGATATAAAAATTTTAGCAAACTAATCGAATATTATATATGCACTATTTTAAGATATAAAAATTTTAGCAAACTAATCGAATATTATATATGCACTATTTTAGGATATAAAAATTTTAGCACACTAATCAGAAATGTATTAATCAAATGCGCATTAATCAAGCGATTCCTGTATTTTATTAACGATTTTTGGTGATAGTAACGATTTTCAGATACAAATTTAGCCAGAAGCATGCAGAATGAGGGTAGAGGGTGTGATGGCCCTGGGCATCCATATTATAAGGGCATCCAATCAAAGAGTGAAATAAAAATTAAGTTTAAACTTAAGTATTTATTTCATGTTTCATCTACATGTTTACATATTTGAAATGGCTTCCTTTTTCACATTTCTCAGTACTAGGTGCTATAGGACTCCCTACTTGAGTCTTAGGGGTATACAATCAAGGAGTTGGCTTCGGACATCACCAAACCTAAGCACATCACTGTATTTAACCCATAGCTGGAGGGAGAAGAGAAATACCTTTCCTAATGGTATTTATGTTTTGCAGATGACCTTGACCTCATAATAGGTAGTAACAGTGAGCTTCAGGACTTGACCAACAAACTTTTTGAAAGAGCAGGTGCATATGGAATGGAGGTCAGCTCCGAGAAATCCAAAGTAATGGTGAATAGCACAAACAGTAACACTTGTGCCAACATTGCCATCAACGGTAATTTACTGGAGGAAGTGTCTAGTTTTAAATACTTAGGAGCAATCATGTCTAAAAGTGGTATCTGCAGCTTGGAAATTCTTACATGGGTTGCTACAGCCATGGCAGTGATGACCAAATTGACAAGAATATGGAGGAGCAAAATCAGCTTTCAAACAAAGTACAGACTGTATAAATTGCTGGTAGTTTCCATTCTCCTATATTGATGTGAAGCATGGACACTGTCGGCAGAAACAGAGAGAAAGATCCAAGCATTTGAGAACAAATGCATGAGAAAATTCCTTGGCATTTTCTATTGGGAACAAAAAAATGATCAATTTGTGCGGAAAAGTGTTCAAAGTTTTATGGGACACCAGGAACCTCTTCTCTCCACTGTCAAACGGAGAAAAATGGCATGCAAGACCATCATGCAAGGCACTGTTGAAGGTAGACATAGGAAAGGACATCAATGTAAAAATGGGTTGGACAATGTCAAACAATGTACAGGTTGATGTAAGGGTTGAAGTTGTCGCTGAAATTTTCTGACAGACATGACTGGATTCTCCTGCTTGTGTGTCATGATGCAGAGTCCTGTTGCCAGACTGGGTCTTCCAGCAGCCACCCTCTTGATCCCAGGCAGCAATACTTCCCCAATTCACCTTATATAGGCCTCTATGTTGAGTTTGAGGCCCTCACCAACAAATTTGTGAGTTCTTTGCTTATCAGAATGATCAGAGTGAGTTTTCTGAGCTGCCATACCTTCGTAATCAATATTAGACTCATCCAACTCTTTTCAAATTCTCTGCACTGTTCTCAGATTGACACCCAAACACTCTTAAATTTTTGTATTGGAGCTTCTGGTGCAAATGCCAAGCAGTACAGAAAGCCATTTCCAAGTTTCTGGTAGAGTGAATTGTGTCATGGTGCTCTTTTTCTCACAGATGATGCCCAATTGAGTTTACTAAATTGTAGGGTTGACAAAAATAAACAATGCACATGTGTCAAATTAAAAATATTAAATGGTGACATTTTTATTCACACACACACACTATATATATATATATATATATATATATATATATATATATATATATATATATATGTGTGTGTGTATAAAATCTTACCAAAAAAACAAGAAAGAAAACACAAAGAAATAGCTATTCCCAAAATAGCTACCCACAGAATTGCTATCCAACAACTCTGTAAAAGTCAGGAGTCATTTTTATACGGTGTCAATAAAATGATAATAAAAATCATTTCTTTCCAATTCTGGCAAGTATCATGGTTTAAGGAATGTCTAATGAATGCTAGTCTAAAAAAGTTTTTTCAAAAGTAATTTTTTTCCATTTTCTACAAGTGGACCAATGTATTTAAGTAGTCCCAAACATCACTGCTCCTTAGCAAGATGCTTGTAATAAAAAGGCAGTTCTTGAAATTGTTTTACAATGTTTCATGACTCTTAGAGAACTTACCGAACTACTCTAGTTCCATTTCTCATCACTTGGATGTCCACCATCGTCCCTTGGTCAGTATAAGCTGCTAAATTGATTTCATGAAATTCAACCTGATAAATAGAAAAAGAAAAGAAATTAGAAGAGAATTTTATGTTGGCCACACTTCTGTGCCAATCACGTCCCAGGGAAGCAATTTTCATATTTTGCATAAAACGGAATATGAAAGCGAAGAAAAACAAAATTATATCTCTTACATATCTGGGAAGTGTTTTAACACAGAATGGAAATCACAATACTGCAATTTAAAGCCACATTGGGATAATGAAAGATGCCTTCCAAAAGCTCAGCAAAGTATCAAGAAACAGGAAAATTTCAAAGATTAGTTGATTTTATATAGTGGCATATCAACCTCTATCGGTTATTTACTGCCAAAATCTTAATAATTTGAACTCAATTTTAGTTCATTTGTTTTTAGATAATGATGGCTTATGCAAGACAAGTCTTACTAATTAACTCATAACTCATGGGAGAAGATGTGGATTCATACACTTTCCAAGGATATTTGCATGTAAGTGAACATAACAAACCCAAATGGAATTGGAACTGATTAACAATTCCATTACAACACCTGCACATCCAAACTTACATCACCTGGTATTCAAAATTTATTAAGAGCTACAAAAGATAGAAAATTGTGGAGAGTCATGATCACTAACATTCTGAAGGGACATGGAACATAGAAGAAGAAGAATGAGCTTGAGTAAATGGATGACGGAACAAGATTTAGGAGAGATAACAAAAAGACAAAATTTATTAAGAGGTACAAAGGACAGGAAATTGTGGAGAGCCATGATCACCAATGTCCTGAAGTTTCACAGCACATAGAAGAAGAAGAATGAGTTTGAGTAAATGGATGGTGGAACAAGGTTTAGGAGAGATAACAAAAAGACAAAATTTATTAAGAGCTACAAAGGAGAGGAAATTGTGGAGAGCCATGATCACCAATGTCCTGAAGTTTCACAGCACATAGAAGAAGAAGAATGAGTTTGAGTAAATGGATGGTGGAACAAGGTTTAGGAGAGATAACAAAAAGACAAAATTTATTAAGAGCTACAAAGGACAGGAAATTGTGGAGAGCCATGATCACCAATGTCCTGAAGTTTCACAGCACATAGAAGAAGAAGAATTAGTTTGAGTAAATGGATGGTGGAACAAGGTTTAGGAGAGATAACAAAAAGACAAAATTTATTAAGAGCTACAAAGGAGAGGAAATTATGGAGAGCCATGATCACCAATGTCCTGAAGTTTCACAGCACATAGAAGAAGAAGAATGAGTTTGAGTAAATGGATGGTGGAACAAGGTTTAGAGAGATAACAAAAAAGACAAAATTTATTAAGAGCTACAAAGGACAGGAAATTGTGGAGAGCCATGATCACCAATGTCCTGAAGTTTCACAGCACATAGAAGAAGAAGAATGAGTTTGAGTAAATGGATGGTGGAACAAGGTTTAGGAGAGATAAGAAAAAGACAAAATTTATTAAGAGCTACAAAGGACAGGAAATTGTGGAGAGCCATGATCACCAATGTCCTGAAGTTTCACAGCACATAGAAGAAGAAGAATTAGTTTGAGTAAATGGATGGTGGAACAAGGTTTAGGAGAGATAACAGAAAGACAAGATTTATTAAGAGCTACAAAGGAGAGGAAATTGTGGAGAGCCATGATCAGCAATGTCCTGAAGTTTCACAGCACATAGAAGAAGAAGAATGAGTTTGAGTAAATGGATGACGGACCAAGGTTTAGGAGAGATAACAAAAAGACAAAATTTATTAAGAGCTACAAAGGACAGGAAATTGTGGAGAGCCATGATCACCAATGTTATAGAAGTAGAAGAAGACATATATAACAATAAAAGTTAATGGCAGAACAGCCTAACAAGCGGAACTCACAAAGTTTGCAATGAGCAACACCATAAAAAGAAAAGAACAGAATAAAAACTAATATAAAGAAAGCAAAAAATATATTCAAGGCAAATTAACAGTGAAATGGCAAAAAATTCACAAACTGAAAATTGGGGTTGACACACAAAAGCAAATTCGGACAAGCATTCTGACTTCAAGACAAGACAGACCAGGACTAAGTCAGATGACACTGAGAACCAGCCTATTTTATTACCAACAACAAGGTTTAGGAGAGATAACAGAAAGACAAGATTTATTAAGAGCTACAAAGGAGAGGAAATTGTGGAGAGCCATGATCACCAATGTCCTGAAGTTTCACAGCACATAGAAGAAGAAGAATGAGTTTGAGTAAATGGATGATGGACCAAGGTTTAGGAGAGATAACAAAAAGACAAAATTTATTAAGAGCTACAAAGGACAGGAAATTGTGGAGAGCCATGATCACCAATGTCCTGAAGTTTCACAGCACATAGGAGAAGAAGAATGAGTTTGAGTAAATGGATGGCAGAACAAGGTTTAGGGGAGATAACAAAAAGATAAGATTTATTAAGAGCTACAAAGGACAGGAAATTGTGGAGAGCCATGATTGCCAACATCCTGAAGGGACACGGCACATAGAAGAAGAAGAATGAGTTTGAGAAAATGGATGGCAGAACAAGGTTTAGGGGAGATAACAAAAAGATAAGATTTATTAAGAGCTGCAAAAGATGGGAAATTGTGGAGAGTCATGATCACCTACATTCTGAAGGGACACGGCACATAGAAGAAGAAGAATGAGTTTGAGAAAATGGATGGCAGAACAAGGTTTAGGGGAGATAACAAAAAGATAAGATTTATTAAGAGCTGCAAAAGATGGGAAATTGTGGAGAGTCATGATCACCTACATTCTGAAAGTTCATGGCACATAGAAGAAGAAGAATGACCTTGAGTAAATAGATGGTGAAACAAGGTTTAGGAGAGATAAGAAAAAGAGAAAATTTATTAAGAGCTACAAAGGACAGGAAATTGTGGAGAGCCATGATCACCAATGTCCTGAAGTTTCACGGCACATAGAAGAAGAAGAATGAGCTTGAGTAAATGGATGGCAGAACAAGGTTTAGGAGAGGTAACAGAAAGACAAAATTTATTAAGAGCTGCAAAGGATGGGAAATTGTGGAGAGCCATGATCACCAATGTTATAGAAGTAGAAGAAGACATATATAACAATAAAAGTTACTGTGAAGTTAATGGCAGAACAGCCTAAGGAGAGATTGAACTGACAAAGTTTGCAATGAGCAACAACAGAAAAGAACAGAATAAAAACTAATGTAAAGCAAGCAAACAATATATTCAAGGCAAATTAACAGTGAAATGGCAAAAAATTCACAAAGTAAAAATTGACAAGTTGACACAAAAAAGCAAATTGGACAAGCATTCTGACTTCAAGACAAGCAAGATCAGGACTAAGTCAGATGACATAGAAAACCAGCCTATTTTATTACCAACAATACCTATTTAAAGTATATATTTAGTTAAAGCCACAAAAATAGTGTTAAAGGATTTAGATTTTGGCATTAAATAACTCATAGAGGTTAATATGTCGCTAAACAAAAGAAAACCAATCAACATTACAGAATTCTTTCATAACATTAATCTATATAATATCCTGCAAATTTCTTAAGGAAATCAAACTGTATTGTTGTTATACCGGAACATACCTATTTCTATTGAAAATAGACTCTCCCACAGATAAGTAGTAGTAGTAGCAGTCGCCAGGGGGAGCTGAGTGAGTTGTGTGAGAAAAGTCGATATTGACATTAAAGTATCAGCCTCCACAACTAGATCGCTGAAGCTTCATTAACTATATTTCAAGTTCCTAACGTTTTGTACGATGGAACTTAATTTAGGAGAGACTTAGAGAAATACAAGCCTCCACTGTGAAAACTACTCTACAACAATTGTAAAAATATAACATCATTAAAAACTTCAGCATAAAATGCACATATCGCCATCTCTGTAATTATGTCCACACAAACATTTATATGTGTAGAGTGAGTAGCTATGGTTAAATGTAAATAAATGACAGAAGTGCCCAACAAGCAGAAATGGACAAAGTTTGTAATAAGCAATAAAAAGAAAAAAGAAAAGGACAGAGTAAAAACTAATATACATCAAGCAAACAATATATGCAAGGCAAATTAACAGTAATATGGCAAAGCAACAGAGATATGGCCAAAAGTTCACAGACTAAGAATTGGGGTTGGCACACAAGAGCAAATTCAGACAAGCAAACTGTTATATTCCATGCTAATAGGAATACACACTTGAAAAACATGGTGAATAAATAAGTAAAGGTTTATTGTAAAAACCAGTACAATAAGAATAAAGGTAACAGTCATCGCAAGTCAATCCAGTAGTGAGTGCTACTATTGGAAGGTCGGTAGTTCTCATGTAAGTCTAAGTCGTACTCAACAGATCCTAGCTAAACTCTGTAGTCCATTGACTTACAGATACTTATAGATAGTTACTACCTATAGTGTAGTTACTCATGGGGGTGACAGTTTATTCCATTACATCACAAAAATAGCATTCTGACTTCAAGACAAGACAGACCGGGACTGAATCAGATGAAACCAGGAATCAGCCTATTTTATTAGCTAAGAAAAAAATCCCATTTATATACACATTCAAAATGCCCCTGATTAGTTTAATCAGTATTTGCATGTCCTGCTGATTTCTATATTAACAGGGTTACAGACCTATGACATTGTATCACCAGTTCTCATAAGCAAGGTTAAGCAATGTCAAACCTGTTCAGTAATATGTTTTCTGCAGATTCCAATCACTGCTTTTTGTTTCTCTTTAGAGCACACTGCTAGTGGAATGACCATGTTTACACTGTAACAGCAGCAAGAAAACTGGTGCTATCAAACTTCAATCATGTGACCACAACAGTACCAACTAAGTATGTATGAGCAGAAGGCAGTGTGACAAAACTAAAGATATATTATGGCAGAAGTGTAGATAATTTTTGACTTTTCCTTGTATGATATAATCTTCATTATTCCAATATATAAATCCAGTATATAAATTTGAGTTTAAAAAACGCATGGCTTTCTTTGTTGTAGGAGTACCTCTATTTGTTGTTGTAGGGGTACCTCTATTTTTTGTTGTAGGGGGTCACTTTATTTGTTGTTTTAGGGGGTCACTTTATTTGTTGTTGTAGGGTGTCACTTTATTTTTTGTTGTAGGGGGTGCCTTTATTTCAGGTGGGCTCAATTCCAACTTAGTTGCTGCTAGTTTTGAGGCTTTAAAAAATTTTGTTGGCATGTGGAAAAATTTTGTGTCAGAGATTTGGCCAGTTTTGGCATGCACTCTCAAAAAGGTTACCCACCCCTCCACTAGGCTCTTGTCCCAACAAGTACCTGATGAAATGTTGGGATAATAACACCAAAGATGAGGACAATAGTCTGCATATAAATAGTGTAAATAATGATAACACCTCATCCCAGAAATTCAGACAGAAGCCGATCAGGGGATAATAACAACAAAGATGAGGATATTAGTCTGAATGTAAATAAGGATAACTCCTCAACCCAGAAATTCAAACTGAAATGAATCAATATATTGTGTATATATTTTATAATAATATTCACGCTGTTGTTTTATGTGTTTGTTTAACGGCATATCGACTCCTTCATGGGTCATTGAATGCCAAAATTTCATTTTCTTGGTGTCATTAGTAATTTCTTTTACGAAAAATGTATTGCTGATATCTTTACTATAAATTATTTTTATCCTTTCATAGTATTTTGAGCACAGTTTGGGTGTTAACTATCTGCTCATAGCTGCGACTGTAACAGGTTCTACCACTCTAGGTCCACCTGGGAACAACAGCAATTAAGAGGTGGTTTGATGCTCCTCAAAACCTCCTGATCAGAGGCCTTGCTGCCAGATGTAGTTTAACGTCATACCCAGGATGATTCACCCTGTAGAAGACATAAGGGTCACTTGAGGTAGAGGGTTATAGAGAAAGCTGTACTGTTTATGCAGATGTGGGGAAGATACAGGTTAATATTGTACTGATTGGGGAAGCATCCCAATAGGATGCTTCCTCGATCAGTACAATTGGCTTCCACAAAGCAATTGCAGAGCCACTGCTAAATTTTATGACATGAAGGTTTTGAACCCATAAAAGCCACCTTCTTTCTCCAGCTCTCACGGTTTTGTCAGAGTGTCAGAACATCTTCCAGTTTCAGATTAATTTGCTGGAGGTCTTGGCAGACAAAGTCCTTCCAGTGGCTTTGCTGTCTGTCAAGAGGTTGTTTCTGGTTTGCTGGTTGAATTGGTAGATGACTTTGGTGGGGTGGTCATCAGATTGTTGCAGAACTTGAACTCTACGTGTGTATAAGTTGTTTATTAAATTGGTAAATGATGGGAGGGGGGGTTAATTATTTTTCCTGCAGAGACAAAACTGGCAAATGTCCAGGTACAAAGTTACAATAACAAAAGAAACAAGAAATCTTACCTGTTCCACTCGAAGGTCCCAGTCGCCAAAGATTTTCTTACCCCGAAAATATTTCGACCTACAAATACAAAGATGGTAAAGACTTGCAGTAATAATTAAAGGACACCTGGGCAAACGACAGCCCACAATTTGCATGCCGCCTATTTGATGATTCTATGCAGCCCACAAGAGTGCAACAAACATCATTATTATTATCATTATTATCATTATTATTTTATTTCTGTAATTTCTGGTGTGTACTCATTTCTTTGATTTTGAAATCACACAGATTTTACATAGATAAAACCTTATGTGTGGGCTGTACTTGTGAGAACAATTTTTTATATTTCTTTAAGGTATGGTCTACCAGGAATCCCTTCAATCAATCTACTGGACTCTTTTCCAATCATTCCAAAGGCTCCAACTACAACTAGAATTGTTAATATCCTCAAGTGCCACATTTTTGCGATTTCTGTTTCAAGTTCCTTGTATTTCAATACTTTTTTGAAGATCTTCAAAGATGCATTGCTGTCTGCATGGACTACCATATCAATAAGGAGACACATTTTGTCTTTGCGGGTCTCTAATCATGATGTCTGGGTGATTAACTTTGATTGTTCTGTCTGTGTGTATCGTGAAGTCCCATAAAATTGTTACACATCCTATCTCCATAACTGGGTCTGAATGGTGTCCATACCAATTTCTTGCAGTTTCCTTTCTGTAAATTTGCAGATTTTCCAGTGCAGATATTGGTCCACCCTGTCATGCCATGTTTTATATTCAGTGGATGCTAATACAGCACAATTATTATTATCATTATTTTTAAGTTCCTTAAATTTTAAAGATTTGCTTTTTTTCAGGTCATATATTACACGAAAGAGCAACCTATTCCGAAAAGGAATATAAGAGAACAGAGACAAATCCAGTCAATTTTGTTCTTTAAAAATGTAAATGCAATGTCAATCATTATCTTCTGTCTTCTTAATTCCTGTTCTTTCATTGTTCTCTTTCATTAATAGTAGTTTTTCTCATATTCCCTAATACTCAGTAACCCCTTGCATCCAAGTGGCTTTATTTCCTTTGATCTTCAAAAATTTAAATGCAATGTCAATTGTTATCTTCTGTCTTCTTAATTCTTGTTCTTTTATTGTCCTCTCTCCTTGATAGTGTTTTCTTTTTCTCATATTCTCAATTTGATCTTCAAAAATTGAAATGCAATATCAATTATTATCTTCTGTCTTCTTAATTCCACTTCTCAATCCTTAATAATGTTTCTCTGTTTTCTCATTGTTTCACACTCAGTAATCCCCTTGCATTTTTCAGGTTGTTTTTTTAATTTTATGATTCAGTAGGTCTGTTTATTTTTATGAAAAGTTTTTTCTTTTTTTCTTTGACAAAAATTTAATAAAAAAAAATTATTTTAAATTTGTTCAAAAAAGCCCAGTAATCTCCCTTTATGTTTAATATAAAATAATATTCACAACTTGGAATAAAAATTAATATTTTTTTATTTATTTGATATATAGAATGAAAAAAATTGCATTTTAAATGCAACATATATTTTTAAAATAAAAAACCGTAACCCCAGTATAATATATGAACTATGCCAGCATTGTGTTAACCAGATATTAAATTATGTAATGGTTAGTCTCTACCCAGCACCTGAAGATAGCGTTGTGCATGAAACTCTGAGTCATGCTACCCGTGATGGATAATATGTATATTTATTAATATATACTTAATAGCTCTGTTATATTACATTGAGCAGTGTTTTAGTAATACCAGTACTGTATATGCAATATATATATATATATATATATATATATATATATATATAAACAAATATATATGTGTGTTAAAACATTTCTCATTGAATAATTTAGACAGGTTTTGTTTACTTATTTTTGATAGGATCCTTTCATATTCATGGACAAGCTTCTTATTACCTTTATTAAAGGAAGAGAGAAAATTACCATGTTGATACATATTCATTTATTTCATGTACTTTTGACATTAGCACAATGTCATCATCAAAATGTTTTTTATAAGATAAAATTATCATGTTTATTTGAAAATTAAATTTTTTAACTCTGAAGTGAAAACATATGGACATTTCAAACTTAGTTACCTTCTCTGATGTTTGCAAAGTGAAATTTAAACTGCAGAGTACATAACTTTAGCATTTGTCATGCTTAATGAAAACATGCTGCCAATATATATATATATATATATATATATATATATATATATATATATGTATATAATATTTATTTTTATTAACAATGTATAGGTAAAAATGTTGATTATCTCCCATTGGTGGAAAAAGTCACATGGATTAAAGGAGGGCCTGTGAGTGATGTCAGAGCAATTCCAAAATAAAGCCCAGAAAAGAAGGATGTCACAATCCCACATTAGTAGAGCTTACAAAATAAATCACATAGCCTCACCAGATGCATAGAAAAACTGTTGTCCTGCCAGTTTTTTCTTCAGAAATTATTAGAAGTAAGATCCTATGCCACTTTCTCATTTTCACCCCACTTGTTGTTGTATACATGTGTTATAGTTTCTCTTATTTTTCATACAATTGTGCAGCCGGTTCACGAAATACATCCAATTAGCAAATTAGTGTACAAATAACATGAACATATATAATTGTTAGTTACACTATTGCTGTGAAATTTGTGTTGTCATTGTGATGCAGCTGACAAGGAAAAGTGTGCCCATCTAAAGGATATGTCCAAACCTCAAAAGCCTTTTTGTGAAAACGATCCTCATGGACTTTTTTGACAAAAACAACAAAAAGGATGAAACAAGAGAAAAGAAAGAAACTGTTCTTTACAAATTTCAATTCCTGGATTTCTTTTACTTCAACTTTATTGTGAGTTTTGTGCAAATTTTTCTCAACTGCAACATAGACCACAGAATGCCAGATATTTTGGGAATGGTCAGGATTAGGACTGTGACAATTTTGAAAAGTAGCTTAGTGAGTCAGTCAGCACAGATATAAGGAATGGCATTGGCTGGTTTACTCATGACTTCCTTTGGCATGAGTAGCCAGGAGAGATGAAGTCAGCAGCACAATTAACTTTTCAGCAGTAAGTTAATAACAGAGGGTGCTGGATTCTGAGATAACACCTGACCTACAAACACCTTCAGGAATATACTATAATTTAGAACAAATACTAACATGCAAATGGACCAAATATCCCTCTATAATATAATACCAACATACTCACTTCAGCTATAATTCTACAAGGCTGTACCAACTTCTGATAATTTACCACAAGCAACATTTTACAGCTCCTTCCATTCAGCAAAGGGTGCTCCAGCTAATATTTTGAATTTTCAACCCCAGAAGATCTTGAGAAAATTTGGCAAAACTTCATGAACTTCACTGATACATTACACATTCTTTATTGCTTCAAAAGTTATTGTAATGGATGCCCTCTATTTGAAATAGATGGCACATTTTTATTTATTAAAAAGTGTGTGTTACCTCTATAGGCTTGCACATTCAAAAATTCTTGGTATAGAAAAATATGTTCCATGGCAGTGATTGAAACTGCATCCTTCTTTGTAGGGGGAGCCACCATTTGATTTAGAGTGCTTTACTATTCAGTGACACAGAATTATACTTTCTACATAAAACTTTCATAACTTCACTTACAGCAAGTCTCCACTTCTTTATCAATATTGTTTTCTACTCGGCTTAATTTCTTCATGCAAATTTGGAGCAAACCTTTACATGTATCTTTTTTTCATTACAAATTTATTGTAAATAAATTCTTTCTGTTTTAATTTCTGACTGAGTAAGAATTTATTTTTTATTGTGTCCCTAAAGATATGTTATTTCTGTGTATATGTGGAGATCCATATACATTTGCTAATATCTTGTTTGATAACATGTCTTTTGAATGCCATGTTCCTTCAGGTTCATTACTCTCCACAGATTCTTTTTCTTTATAATCTATGAATTGCCATGACTTCTTGGGAAAGATAATGGAGTAGTTTCATGTTCCATTCATCACAGTTTGGAATCCAGAGTTATCCTTATATATATATATATATATATATATAGTGCGTAAATTGTCACCGTTTTATATTTTTAATTTTGGGCATTGTTTGTTTTTGATTTTGTCAACTGCACAGTATAGTATGGTCAGTTGGACACCATCTGTGAGAAAAAGAGCGCCATGACACAATTCACTCTGCCAGAAATTTGGAAACAGCATGCTGTATTGATTGGCATTCACACTGGAAACTCCAATACAAACATTTCAGAGCATTTGGGTGTCAATCAGAGGACATTGCAGAGTATTCAGAAAGAGTTGGAGCTTTCAGTTAAATGCTATATGTGATGCACACTTGGGCGATCATGTCTCTCCACAACTTCCTCACCTAAATAACTGTTGACTCTTAAAGTTACATGCCATACATGATGCACACTTAGGTGATCATATCTCTCCACAACTTCCTCACATAAATTGCTGTTGACTCTTTCAGTTAGGTGACCTATATGATACATGCTTGGGTGTCCATGTCTCTTTCGATTCATGACTGACTAGGCAGAAGATTTTCCTGTATTAGGTTGCCATTTCATTCTATGGTAGACTGGTTGCCGACATCTATAAATAGTGTAAATTCTGATAACTCCACATTCCAGAAATTCAGATAGAACCTTTCTGCACATTTATTTTTCATTTTCTTCAAAAACATTTTCCCCTCTTTAACCCTAAATTAAATTGCTAAATTAAATTGGGCGATCATGTCTCTCCACAACTTCCTCATCTAAATAACTATTGACACTTTCAGTTAAGTGCCATATGTGATACACTCTTGGGTGATCATGTCTCTCCACAACTTTTTCACCTAAATAATTGTTGACTCTTTCAGTTAAGTTTCATATGTAATACATACTTGAAATAGATATGCTTGAATGTTGACTCACTCATGCTAAGCACAACAAGGTTGACTCCTGGAGTCACCACTGATATATATATATATATATATATATATATATATATATATCAGTGAAAATTTTAAATCAACCTTAGAGTTGTTATATATAATTTGTGAGATATGTATTTGTTCAGTCAGTCAGTTAAGTGTTATACACACTATAATGACCATGTTGCTTTCAGTTCATGACTGACTAGGCAGAAGATTTTCCTGTAGTAGGTTGCTGTTTCTTTCTGTGGTAGATTGGTTTACAAACAAGGCTGTAGGACCCAGTCTGTCCTGTTATTTAATCCATAGATGGGGGAACAAGAGGCAGATTCATACCATTTCCAAGATTATTTGCATATAAGTGAATGCAACGAATGCGACTGGAATTCAGACTCTTTGATTTTTCATTCCGACTCATTATCCATTACACCAGTGATGCACATCTGTAATGTAAATACTGACAACTCCACATCCCAGAAATTCAGATAGAACTTTTGTGTACATTTATTTTTCATTTTCTTCAAAAACATTTTCCCCCTCTTTAACCCTAAAGAGATCACTTGTGAATTACTTCCACTTGTGCTAAATTAGAATGTGTTAAGTTTTTTAAGCATGTAATTTGTGAAACTACCGAATGAGGCTTTCATCTTGTGTATTGAGAAAGTTCATCTCAATGTTTGAATTTTTTTTCTCTGCCACAACAAGAACTGCAGGGGTGGTGTGTGATTGGATAGAAGAAGGGAAGAATTCAGAATACACACAAGGAATTGGTGGGACTGGGTGCTATTGCAAAAATCAGTTTGAACTACAAGAGAAATAAAGAATACATTTATAAATTCCTGGTAAGCAAAAACCTAAAATTTTACCAATTTGTTCTGATGAGCATTTGAGACTTTAAAGATGGTGTCTATCTTGAGAGAAATAGAGAGTGAGAGCTGTGTACAGAGAGTGAGAGAGAAAGAGAGATGTGTACAGAGAGAGAGAGAAAGAGAGATGTGTACAGAGAGAGAGAGAAAGAGAGATGTGTACAGAGAGAGAGAGAGAAAGAGAGCTGTGTACAGAGAGAGAGAGAGAAAGAGATGTGTACAGAGAGAGAGAGAAAGAGAGCTGTGTACAGAGAGAGAGAGAGAGAGAGATGTGTACAGAGAGAGAGAGAAAGAGAGCTGTGTACAGAGAGAGAGAGAGAAAGAGAGCTGTGTACAGAGAGAGAGAGAGAAAGAGAGATGTGTACAGAGAGAGAGAGAGAAAGAGAGCTGTGTAAGAGAGAGAGAGAGAGAAAGAGAGATGTACAGAGAGAGAGAGAGAAAGAGAGATGTGTACAGAGAGAGAGAGAGAAAGAGCTGTGTACAGAGAGAGAGAGAGAGAAAGAGAGATGTGTACAGAGAGAGAGAGAGAGAAAGAGAAATGTACAGAGAGAGAGAGAGAAAGAGAAATGTACAGAGAGAGAGAGAGAGAAAGAGAGCTGTGTACAGAGAGAGAGAAAGAGAGCTGTGTACAGAGAGAGAGAGAAAAGAGATGTGTACAGAGAGAGAGAGAGAGAAAGAGAGCTGTGTACAGAGAGAGAGAGAAAGAGAGATGTGTACAGAGAGAGAGAGAAAGAGAGCTGTGTACAGAGAGAGAGAGAAAGAGAGATGTGTACAGAGAGAGAGAGAGAAAGAGAAATGTGTACAGAGAGAGAGAGAGAGAAAGAGAGATGTGTACAGAGAGAGAGAGAGAAAGAGAGCTGTGTACAGAGAGAGAGAGAAAGAGAGATGTGTACAGAGAGAGAGAGAGAGAAAGAGAGATGTGTACAGAGAGAGAGAGAGAAAGAGAGCTGTGTACAGAGAGAGAGAGAGAAAGAGAGCTGTGTACAGAGAGAGAATAACAGATGTGAGCAGTAAGAGAAAATAGATGTAGACAGAGAGGGAAAGAGAGATGTGGACAGAAAGAGAGAAAGAGAGATGTGTACAGAGAGAGAATAACAGATGTGAGCAGTAAGAGAAAATAGATGTAGACAGAGAGGGAAAGAGAGATGTGGACAGAAAGAGAGAAAGAGAGATGTGAACAGAGAGAGAATAACAGATGTGAGCAGTAAGAGAAAATAGATGTGGACAGAGAGGGAAAGAGAGATGTGGACAGAAAGAGAGATGTGGACAGAAAGAGAGAGAGAAAGAGATGTGTACAGAGAGAGAATAACAGATGTGAGCAGTAAGAGAATATAGATGTAGACAGAGAGGGAAAGAGAGATGTGTACAGAGAGAATAACAGATGTGAGCAGTAAGAGAAAATAAATGTGGGCAGAGAAAGAGGGATGTGGACAAAGAGAGAAAGATGGGTGTGGGTAGCGAGAGAAAGAGAGATTTGGACAAACAGAGAAAGGGAGATGTGGACAGAGAGTGAAAGGGAGATGTGCACAAAGATAGAATGAGAGTGACAGTGAGAGCTAAGGAGAGATATGGACAGTGAGAGAAAGAGAGATGTGGAGAAAGAGAGATGTGGACAGTGAGAGAGAGAGAAAGTGAGATGCAGACAGATTGAGTGAGAAATGTAGAAAGAGGGATATTTGAAGAGAGAAGTAGAAAGAGAGATGTTAACAGAGGGAAAAGATAAAGATATGAACAGAGATAGAGACAAAATGAAAGGGAAAAACGAGAGAAAGATGGAAAGAGAGAGAGAGAGAAATGTGAACGTGCCAGCAGTAAAAGAATGATAAAAAGGGAAAGACAAATCGATAGAGATAGAGAGTGAAAATATAAGAGAGGTAAATAGAGAGACAGTGAGAAGTAAAAAAAGAGAGAAATATGAACAGAGAGAAAGAGAAATAGAGGTAAATATAACAAGACTTTAGTGAAAGAGATGAACAGAGAAAGAGAGAGTGAGAAAGAAGAGAGAGAAATGTGAACAGAAAAAGAGAGAGAGAGAGTGAGAAAGAAGAGAGAGGGAGAACAAAGAGAGAGAAATGTGTAGAGAGAGAGAGAGAAAGAGATAAATATGAAGAGAATGAAAGAAAGAACAGCTAGAGATTTGAACAGAGAGAGAGAGTGAGAGTGCAGGAGAGTGATAGAAAGAGAGAGAGAGAGAGAGAAATAGACAGAAACAGAAAGAAAGAGAGAGAGGGGGAAGTGAGAGAAAGAGATGAACATACAGAGAGAGAATGAGAGAGGGGGTGTAAGAAAGAAGAAAGAGAGAAGTATAAAGAGGATAGATATTGGTAAACTCAGAAACAATGGATTAAAAAATGATTCAATGAAAATAATGAATGAAAAAGTGATAAAAATTTAATGCATGGGACAGATGAACAACTCAATCACAAGAGTTGAGAATAAGTATATAATACACAATGTATATAAATACACAATATATATATATATATATATATATATATATATATATATAAAATATACAATATACATGAAACAAATATATATATATAAAAAATATATATATATATATATAAAATATACAATCTATATATATATAAATATATACATAAAATATATATATATATATATAAAATATGCAATATACAATCTGTATATGTACAAATATATATAAATATAATATATATATATATATATATATATATATATATATATATAAAATATACAATCTATTATATATATATATATATAAATATATATATATATATAAAATATACAATCTATCTATATATATATATAAATATATATATATATATAAAATATACAATCTATCTATATATATATAGAGAGAGAGTATATAATATATATGAATAAAATATACAATCTATATATATATATATATATATAAAATATACAATATATATATATATATATATATATAAAATATACAATATATATATATATATATAAATATAAAATATATATATATATATATAAAATATACAATCTATATATATATATATATAAAATATACAATATATATATATATATATATAAAATATAATCTATATATATATATAAATATACAATCTATATATATATAAAATATACAATCTATATATATATATATATATATATATATATATATATATATATATATAAAATATACAATCTATCTATATATATATAGAGTATATAATATATATGAATAAAATATACAATGTATGAGTGTGGGTGTTTGTGTGTATAAAATATCTAATATTTCTTTCCTTAAAAATAAAATAATTTTTTTTTTTTCCTTTTCTCATTTCTCTTTTTTAAGTAAAAAAGAATTACTGCTGATTTTTCCCTGGGTCGGTATCAGTTGAATGAAGACATAGCAGTGATTTATGAATAATCCATCTGTTCTTTGTTGAAAGAATCACAGACAGAAATCAATATTTCAGCTGATTTGATGCCAGGTCAGAATTGCAGAAAATGGTCGTACATAGAGAGGCACATCTTGCCGTTTCTAATAGGAAATCATTTCTCCAACATTATAGAACGGAACAATGAAAATGGTGTACTTGGCAAGTGCAAGATGCAATAGCCAGGGTAATTGTTGAAGGCTCAGCATTAATCCTATGCAAATACTTGCAGAATTATTGGTGAGTCTCACTTTATAGGTTTTATAGCCAAGAATCTATATTTTGTGTTGGTCGACTCATGATTTTCAGCCAAGGAATCATCATAAAATGCATTTTGCAACCACAATGCCAGATTTCTTTCTTCAACTCAATGTTTTCACACAAAAAGTTGGGTAAACATCATCAAATGTGCCCGCAATAAGACAGAGTGTCAAAAGAACGGTTTTTCCATGACACCATTATTATTTTAGCAACCGTCAATCGTTGGCAATGTTTATTGTTTTCAAAATTGATGAATAGAATATTCTAAATTGATGAATAGAATATTTTAGCAACCTTCATCGTTGGCAATGTTTATTGTTTTCAAAATTGATGAATAGAATATTTATATTCAATAAACATTGCCAATGATGAAGGTTGCTAAAATAAAGCCTAAACATATGATGAAAGTGAATTTATACATTTTTTGTTCTTGAGAATTGATAACAAAAATATTAAACATTATTGATTTATTAAATGGGGGGGTGTTATAACTCACTCCTAGTGGTTTATGTCTTGATTGACTACCAACTGAACTCTGCTGACTCACTTTGAATTCTTTATTTAAAGCATCTTGCCTAGTTCATTTGTGTTACTGAGGGTGTATTATTTACTCCACAACGAATGGGGGGATTTTTTATTTTATTATACAAAAGTAATTCTTGGTCCTTGTATATTCTGAATGGAAAATATAGGGGATTAGTTTTGTTATGGTTCGGTTCCTTGTACCACGGTGATAGTCCAAAGTAGAACCAATAAAGAAGAACTCGAAGGTGGATATGGAATAATACAGATATATTACAAACAGGAATATATACAGAGAAATAGAAAGTGTTAATACGAACAATCAGGTTTAGTAGTAATTGTCTGAACGCGACTCTGTTTTGGACTACCTCTGACTGACTCGCTTGCTCTGACTGACTGACGGAACTCACTCCAGACTTCAGACTGAACTCCCTGCTTCTTCTTGAGGTGCAGTATTTATTACATATGGAATAGTCCATTAAGTTATTATGGGTAAGGTCCCATAACAAGTTTTTTATTATACAAAAGTAATAAACTATTTATTGGGCTTCGTATATTCCTATAGCAACAAATAGGGGATCAGTTTTTTTATTATACAAAAATAATAAACTGAACCCCCATTTATTGTGTTTTTTATATTTCTATGGTGGGGTGTGGGTGGTGTAATGGATAAAACAACTCAGACTGAGAAATTGAAGAGCTGAGTTCAAATTCCAGTAGAGTTTGTTGCATTCACTTATGCATAAATACCCTTGGAAAAGGTATGAATGTATTTCTTCTCCCCCCAGATATGGGTTAAATAGCAGGAGAGACAGAGTTCTATAGCCTTGGTTGGCAACTAGTCTACCATAGAAAGAAATGGCAACCTACTGTGGGAAAAACTCATGTGTAGTCAGTCATGGATCAAAAGAGATACGATTGCCCAAGCATGTATCATGTGTAGCACTTAACTGACTGATTGATATTCTTATGCCAAAAAATAGGGGTTCAGTTTTTTATTATACAAAAGTAATAAACTGAACCCGTATTTTTTGGAATTTGCATATTCCTATAAAATAAAAATGGAGGATTTGTTTTGTTTTATGCAAAGTAATGAACTCGTCATAATCAGTTCATTATGACAGCCAACGTAATAAACTGAACTCTGATTTCTTGGCCGCATATTCCTATGTCAAAAAATGGGGGATCAGCTTAGTATTACACAAAAGTAATAAACTGAAACCCCATTTATTGGTCTTTGTATATTCCTATGGCAAAAAATGGGGGATCAGTTTAGTATTAAACAAAAGTAATAAGCTGAACCCCCATTTATTGGTCTTTGTATATACCTATAACAAAAAATGGAGGATCAGTTTACTATTGCAGAAAAGTAATAAACTGAACTCCCATTTATTGGTCTTTGTATATTCCTATAACAAAAAATGGGGGATCAGTTTAGTATTACAATTCTTGGTCTTTGAATATTCCTATAAAATAAAAATGTATGATCATTTTTCTATTGCAGCCTTGTAATAAAGTGAACCCCCATTTATGGACTGCATATTCCAATCATAAATAAATGGGGAATCAGTTTTATTTTGTTTCATTAAATTGAAGCTATAATCTTATTTTTAAAGACATTTTAGACATTAGACAAATGTTCTGATCTTATCAAACTGTCAATTTCAAATAATAGGACAAAAGTTAAATCTGATGTTGATGAAAATAGACATTGAAATATTAACATATTTCTTGTTTGTTAATCAAATATTGATTGTATATAAACCAATATTTCACAGTCGTTTGATCTTGTGTGTTTTATTTTGATATTCCCGTTGTCTGTTTGCAACTTTATATTCTATAGAATAAAGGTAACTCTCTCAAAGTCTGTCTGCAACATTTATTACGTTGAGTCTTAAAAAGTTTCCGGTTTTGTCTATCAGTTTATTCTTCAAGAAAATAAAGTACAATGACATTTGATTCAGTTTTACATTTACCATTATTTGTAATGTCTTGTGGCCACTTATCACTTTGAGATGAAGAGACTGAGAGAGATAGAAAGAGAGAGAGAGAGAGAGTAAAAGAATAAATGAGTGAGAAAGAGAGATGAACAGTCTGAAAATGAGAGAGAAGGAGATAAAATACTGAGAATGAGAGAGAGAGAGAGAGAGGGGAAAAACTGAGAATGATAGAGAGAGAGAGAAATTGAGATAAAAAGACTGAGAATGATAGAGAGATGAAGCGTTTCAGAATGATAGAGAGAGATAGATAAAAAGACTGGGAATGAGAGAGAGAAATGAACAGACTGGGAATGATAGAGAGAGAAAGTGATAAAAAGGCTGAGAATGATAGAAATATGAAGAGTCTGAGAATGACAGAGAGAGAGAGATGATGACCAGACTGAGAATGATAGAGAGATAGGGAGAGAAATGATGAATAGACTGAGAATGAGAGAGAGAGAGATATAAAAAGACTGAGAATGAGAGAGAGAAATTAACAATGAGAATGATAGAGAGAGAGAAAGAGAGATAAAAAGGCTGAGAATGATAGAGAGAGACATGAAGAGTCTGAGAATGACAGAGAGAGATGAACAGACTGAGAATGAAAGAGAGACATGCACAGTCTGGGAATGATAGAGAGAGAGAGAGTGATAGAGATAAAAAGGTGGAGAATGATAGAGACGGAGACAGAGATTAACAAACTGAGAATGATAGCGAGAGAGAGAGAGTGATAGAGATAAAAAGGTGGAGAATGATAGAGACGGAGACAGAGATTAACAAACTGAGAATGATAGAGAGAGAGAGTAATAGAAAAAGACTGGGAATGAGAGAGAGACATGAACAGACTGGGAATGATAGAGAGAGAGAAAATGATAAAAAGGCTGAGAATGATAGAAATATGAAGAGTCTGAGAATGACAGAGAGAGAGAAATGATGAACAGATTGAGAATGAGAGAGAGATAGAGAGAGAGAGAGAGAGAGAGAGAGATAAAAAGACTAAGAATGATAGAGAGAGACATGAAGAGTCTGAGAATGACAGAGAGAGATGAACAGACTGAGAATGAAAGAGAGACATGCACAGTCTGGGAATGATAGAGAGAGAGATAGAGAGAGAAAAAGGTGGAGAATGATAGAGACGGAGACAGAGATGAACAAACTAAGAATGATAGAGAGAGAGAGTAATAGAAAAAGACTGAGAATGAGAGAGAGACATGAACAGACTGGGAATGATAGAGAGAGAGAGATAAAAGGCTGAGAATGATAGAGAGAGATATGATGAGTCTGAGAATGATAGAGAGAGAGATGAACAGACTGCGAATGAGAGAGAGAAAGATAAAAAGACTGAGAATGAGAGAGAGACATGAACAGACTGGGAATGATAGAGAGAGAGAGAGAGATAAAAAGGCTGAGAATGATAGAGAGAGAGAGAGAGAGAGAGAGATAAAAAGACCGAAAATGAGAGAATGACATGAACACACTGGGAATGATAGAGAGAGAGATAGATAAAAAAAACTGAGAATGGTAGAGACATGAAGAGTCTGAGAATCTTATTTATTATAAAATGCAGATTGTGTGTGTGTGTGTTCGTTTATATATTGGATCGGATTTCCTACATTTTTCAACCGATTTCAACAAAACTTCACAGGACTACGTAAAATTACCTTGCGGTGGTTCTGACAGCACCAAAAATTGGAAAAACACAATTGTTTTTGCACGAAATCAATTTGAAAACACGATAAAACATGATTCTGTCACCAGAATGAAAGGGGGACAACTCATATCGAGTTATACTTATAAAACCCAGGTTGTTTGTGTGTGTGTGTGTGTGTGTGTGTGTATGTGTTCATTTATATATGTGATCGGATTTCCTACATTTTTCAACTGATTTCAACAAAACTTCACTTTTTTTTGGCAGGTAGTGTTTCTTATTGTCTTGCACACTTTTTTCTTTATTTTTACATTCAGAATGCTTTAAAAATACCATTTACAAGACAATTGTTTATAATAAAATTCTATTCAATCTGTAGACTCATAACGATTGAAAACAATGTTTTTGTTTGAGTTTGGGTTTGACCAATTCGTAAAAAAAAAAAAAAAAAAAATTAAGACATGCGTGTCCGTCAACCTTAAACAATAATCTTTGTCAATTTTATTTTTCAGTCTTTATGATGGTCGATACTTGATCTATCTCGTACTCTTACATTGCCGGGCAATGCCAGGCTCTACTGCTAGTAATATATATAGAGAGAGATGAGCAGACTGAAAATGATAGATAAAAAGACTCGGAATAAAAGAGAGAGAGCTGAACAGACTGGGAATGATAGAGGGTGAGAGATGAACTGACTGAAAATGATAGAAAGAGAGAGAGATGAACTGACTGAAAATGAGAGAGAGAGAGAAAGAGAGATAAAAAGACTGGAAATGAGAGAGAGGCAGATGAATAGACTGGGAACGATAGAGATAAAAAGACTGAGAATGAAAGAGAGACATGAACAAACTGGGAATGAATAGAGCGATGAACAGACTAAGAATGAGAGAGAGAGATAAAAAGACTGAGAATGAGAGAGAGAGAGATGAAGAGTATGTGAATGATAGAGAGAGAGAGAGATGAACAGACTGGGAAGGATAAAGAGTTAAAAAGACTGAGAATGAGAAGAGACAGATGAACAGAGTGAGAATGATAGAGAGAGATAAAAAGACTGAGGATGAGAGTGGGAGAGATGAATAAAATGGGAATGAAAGAGAGAGAGAGAGAGAGATGAACAGATTGAGAATGATAGAGAAAGTGAGAGTTGAATTTTTATCCATTTGACATGATCTGACAACTGATGTTGAGTCATTTTCTGTAGTTTTTATAATGTAAATCATAAGACAAAAGATGTTCACAGATGGATGGAGAGAGAACGAACTATTTCAATATTGTCAAAGGTTATATCTAATATACTGCAGAAGAGTGGGGGGGCGATAAAGGAAAAAGAGATCGCTAACGGTGTAATAATGAAACGTGAAAGCACATGAAAGATTTGCTTTCTCATATTTCTTTTCGTTGTAGTTGTCATGAGATTTGTATTGAGGAGAAAAAAAAAGGCCAACACAATAAAATTAAGGCAAAAATAAGCCTAAGGGCTACCATGTTAACCTTTTGACTTGATCTTATAATCGACGTTTAGTCCTTTTTTCTTTGTTATAATCTAAAAGAGTTAAAATATTATTTTTACAGTTTTCATATATAATTAAAGCAAAAATAAGCATGAAAACCTGTTTACCTCAGAGTTCTTGACAAGATCAAGAGATGGATATGTAATATAATTGGCCCTGATCTGGCATCTCATCTACAGTCACTCTCTCACAGACGCGCCGTCGCCTCTCTCTGTCTTTTCTACAAATACTTTCATGGTAATTGCTCCAATGAGTTGCTTTCACTGGTTCCCAGACTCCATGAATTCAAGTGCCCTACAAGGCTGGCATCCCGCTCTCACCCTTTCACTGTAGAAACTTTTAAATGTAGCTGTCTCTTCTACTCCAATAGCTTCATACCTCGCACCTCTCGCCTGTGGAACACCCTTCCCAATTACTGTTTCCCTGAGAGCTATAATCTCCAACTATTCAAATGTAATGTCAATCGACATCTCCAGTTACATTGATCTATCCACTATCTCTCTCCTCATCCTTTCTTCTATCACTCCTATCTGCTCTCACTCCAAATCTTCTGCAACCCCCTGCATCCTAGTGGCTTCACGCCTTGCTCGGGGTGTAATGCCTAAAAAAAAACTACCCTTAAAAAACATATTTTCTTGTGTTTTCTTCCTGTTTGGTATGCATGTTCCTGCAACTATTTCTGACACTTGAGGGTTAATGCATGATTACCATTTCTGCAGAGAATTCTATCACAGAGAGAAGCTATTTCAAGTACAGAGACAAAAAAAGTCAAATTTACCGATTATGCTCAAATGTCTCTATTCAGTTTCATCATTTAATTCTACAAAACTTGAGTTATTTTAATTTGGGACTTAGCGGCTGAGAGATCATCTGTAAAGACCTGAGTCTTACCTAAATAAAGCACTACAATAAAAATATCTAATGACAAACCTTTACCTGGCCAATCTGAATATCATTTTTAATTCTTAAAGAAGTTTTCTATGTACACTAGAAGTTATATTCCACAAATGTTATCAGCCATGACCTGGCATCATGGCTTCAGTGATCTTTTCCAACACCATAATAAACTACATCCAGCAGCAAAACCTCTGATTGGGAGGTTTTGACATGTGTGGAAACATCTCTTAATTGCTGTTGTTCCCAGGTCCACCCTGATCCGGAGTTGTAGCACGTGTTAGGGTCCCAGCTATGGGTAAATAGTTAACCCAACAAACTGGGATCAAAATACTATGAAAGTATAAAAATAGATTTTTTTATAGTAAAAATACCAGCAATACATTTTTGTTAAAAAAATTACCAGCAATACACTTCACTCTCAACAAAAACCCTCTTTACCAGAATACATCGATGAAACCTGATCTACAAATTGATTTCTTACAAAGAATACATATTCTATTCATATGAATCTATTCTAAAAATCTTGTTGACATTAAATAATCAATTGAGGTTGATATACCATAAAACAAAATAAACCAAACCAAACCAAATTTCATTCCTGATCATTAAAAAATATTACCAGCAATACATTGGACTCTCAATAAAACCCTCTTTACAAAAAATACGTCAATGAAACCTAATCTACAAACTGATTTCTTACAAAGAATACATCTTCTATTCATACAAACCTATCCTAAAAATCTTGTTGGCATTAAATAATCAACTGAGGTTGATATGGCGTAAAACAAAACAAACCAAACCAAGAATACACCAATAAAACCTGATCTACCAAATGATTTCTTACAAAATATACATATTCTAGTCATATGCACTTATTCTAAAAATCTTTCTGTCTCTCTCTCTTTCTTCTTTATCTCTCTTTATCTTTCTTGATTCTTTCACTCTCTTTCTTTTTTATTATTTTTCTCTCATTCACTTTTTTGCTTCTCCCTCTCTCTCTCTTATCTGATTCTTTCACTCTCCCTCTTTCTCTTCTTTGTATCTTTACCTGTCTCTCCTCTCTTTGACTCTCTCTCTCTCTCTCTCTTTGATTCTATTTCAATTTTTCATTGATTCTCTTGTTGGGACTTTAGGGTCATTTAATTTATCAGAAGGATTTGTTATTAATGGTTACGTGTTTGACCGCGTCCCAAACAAATATACAAACAATCGTGATATTTCAAACAAGGAAAAAACGAGACATATATAGATCAAAACAATACAACATTTATATACAATTAAACATTTACAAACTGGAATAATATTTGTATGAGTTGCGTGCGTAAATTGTATGTGTATGCTGAAATGGTTAATGTCTCTTGTATCGTAATGTTTGCTATTTTCTTGTTTGTATCAAAGATTGTAATAATAAAATTAAGAGTTTTTTGCAAAAGAGTTTGTCAAAGTAGTCTACCCTTAATCGTATTTTGTATTTGTATTCGCTTTCGTATTTCTTATTTTTGTAATGATTATAAATCAATATGCATAAGAAATTAAGTGAAAAGTTTCAAGAGTCGTTCGTCGAATGTTCGAAGTGAGTCAGTGATTGTTCTTTGAAAAGCGCGGCAAGATTATGGTTCGAAACGTCGTGGAGTATTTAGGCAATTGCTCGGTGAGTTAGCTAGACTGAGATATTCAGCCACCCACCCACGAGGGTGTCATGCGGCACAAAGCCTTTTTTAATGTGGGCATTCCCGAGCCATTAGGCTCAGCCAAAAAATAGCCCATTTGAACCCGTATAAACGGGTTCAGGGCCTTTTTTTAATGTGGGCATTTTTAGCCCTCCCCGAAGGAGACTTCGCGGGTTCGGCGTAGCCTCCTTCGGGTTCCTCTCCGTCCGGAGACAGAGAGTTGAACCGTGCAGTCGCTCAGAAAGTGAGCTAGACTGAGATATTCAGTCACCCACCCACGAGGGTGTCATGCGGCACAAGGCCTTTTTTAATGTGGGCATTCCCGAGCCATTAGGCTCAGCCAAAAAATAGCCCATTTGAACCCGTATAAACGGGTTCAGGGCCGGTTTAACCTCCCCGAAGGAGACTTCGCCCTTCGGCGTAGCCTCCTTCGGGTTCCTCTCCGTCCGGAGACAGAGAGTTGAACCGTGCAGTCGCTCAGAAAGTGAGCTAGACTGACTGAATGGGGCTGTCTGCTTTCCTTTTTATAATATTTGGATTTCCAAAAGTGGTTCAACTCGTTTTGGCGCAATTCCTGTTTCAGAAAACGATTGACCAATGGAATTGCTTGATTCGATTCTCGCCATTTCTATTGGCTGAGGTTTTTTTTTACGTAGGCGTACGATGTGGACTGTGCCTTTTTTAGGTTAGAAAAGGTGAGGATATTGGAAGAGTCCACACTCTCTTCTTTGAATCTCTCTCTCTCTTTAATTGCTTTGATTCTGTTCTCTCTCTCTCTCTCTCTCTCTTCTTTGAAACCATCTCTCTTTGTCTTTGGTTCTTTGTCTCTCTCTTCATTGATTCTTTCTCTATCTCTCTTTCTTTCTTTTCTCTCACTCTGATTCTTTCTCTCTCTTTCTTCTTTTACTCTTTCACACTCTCTTTTCTGCTTCCTTCTCTCTCTTTGTTCATTCTTTTTCTTTCCCTTTGATTCGCTTCCTATCTCTTTTTTTACTCTTTTGCACTCTCTCTTCTTTGCTCCTCTCTCTCTCTATTGATTCTTTTTCCTTCTCTCTCTGTTCATGACACTATCTCCCAAACTCTTACAAATTATTTATTGTTTATCTTTCCATCAGCAGGAAACATTAATATTATACGAAAGCAAGCTTCTCTCTTGAAGGACAGAAAGATGCAGCTGGGAAAGAAAATGTGATGCCAATTTGGCAAGAGAGAAAAAAAATGGTTGGAATGCTCAGAAAGGACAAGGAATCAAAAGCAAACGATAAAGAAATCAAAGAATTCCTTGAAAGATAATGGCAGAAGCTGTGACAGAAGGAAAAAAAGTGAGCAGCAGGTGGCAGAAAAGGAAAGTGTCTTGATTATGGTAAAAGCAAATTGCAAAAACGTTTTGGCATCGCTTAGAAAGCATAAAAGAAGATATTAGCGCAAAGTGATTAAATCTCAACTGTGGCGATCTTTTATTGATAAGTTCTCATTTCATAAAAGACCTTCCTTCACAATTCCAAGAGATGTTTAGATTGTTAATTTTCTTTTCTTTTTAATGTTCTAGTTGCTTCTACATGTTTTGGCTAGTCTGTTTTCCAACCTTCTTCAAGTGTACAATTCATAGAGAAAGAGAAATAATCACTTACCCTTGGTTCTGCAAACGAGAAAAAATGTAAACAATTTCTTCTAATTACCTTTTCTATATGAATAAAATAGACTGAGATAGATAGATAGATAGATAGATAGAGAGATAGATAGATAGATAGATATGAATAGACTGAGATAGATAGATATGAACAGACTGTGATAGATAGATAGATAGATAGATAGATAGATAGATAGATATGAATAGACTGAGATAGTTATGAACAGACTGAGATAGATAGATAGATATGAATAGACTGAGATAGATAGATAGATAGATAGATAGATAGATAGATAGATATGAACAGACTGAGATAGATAGATAGATAGATAGATAGATAGATAGATAGATATGAATAGACTGAGATAGATAGTTATGAACAGACTGAGATAGATAGATAGATAGATAGATAGATAGATAGATAGATTTGATTGATTATATTGACCTTTGTTGTCCCTAAAAGAATAAAAGAGACATAAATTTGTTAATGGCTTTCATATTAAACATTTAAACTTTTTATTCTTCCAGATGGCAAGAAGAAATATATTATTCAAACCATAAAATGTAGACCAGAGGTTGTGTTTTTAACATTCTCATCAGGCATCCTTTCATAATAAATTTTAGTTGCTAGGCAAGTTTCAGTTTTTAAATTAGATGTTCAATAAATCTATATCTGCCATTTAATAAGAAAACTTCTTTTTTTCCAAGTTCTCCTTGCAAAATCATCTTAACCTTTTCTGTGTAAAGTTTGAACTTTTGCTGTTTTGTCCCCTACAAATTCTGGAAACATGCTCAGCTCCTCATACCACTCCAGTAACTACCAGACTCCTCCTACCATGCTCTATCTTTACAAGAGTCAGATTGAACCAAAAATGGAGTATTGCTACCATATCTGGGCTTGATCTATCCAATCCACTCCTTCCAGCTTTAACAGAGTTCAAAATCTTTTACTCAGCCTTGTAGGTGAGGAATTATTTTCCACCCTACAGCCTCTTTCCTCACAGATGAAATGTTACAAGCTGATTACTACTCTATTGCTATTCCCATGTTCTTAAGTTCCACCAGTTCAGACCTTTACAGCTAAGACCCACTACACCATCTATGCATGGATAAACCATCCTCAATCCCTTTGTATTTTAGTGGTAAGATGGACGTTTCATTCAAGCAGCTTATTCTCAAGAACTGCTACTTTGTAGAATTGACTCCCAAGAGGATGCTTCTTCCTGAATCACTACATGAAGAAAAGATAGTGATATTAGCCAAGATGTGATGCTAAAAACAACAAAGATGAAGATCATGGGTGAAAGAATCAATGGAATAATGAAAATACTTCAGATATATAAATAATTTGTCAGGAGTACAAAATTTTAAGGTTTTTATAAACAGACATTTTAATATATTTTATATATTTTGAATTGTTGTCTATCGCAACGGATGAGTGTTCTCCCAAGGATTTGGACTTAAGCTCACCCCAGACCTTATGTGGAACTCGTATATGATCCTTTGCTAAAGATGCTGGAGAAAAGGTTGTCTCTTTATACCGCTCCAGTAAGTACCTGACTCCTTGTGCTCAACTCTATCCTTACAAGAGTCAAATCAGAACCCAAAAAGAAGTATTGTTACCATATCGAGGCTGAAGCTACTCAACTCTCTCCTTTCAGCCTTGACAAAGTTCAAAAGTATTTACACAGCCTTGTCATTGATGACTTATTTCCCACCCTACAACCTCTTTCCCCACAGACACAAAGTAACAAGCCTCTCACTACTTTATCACTCTTTCCTTAGGAAATGTTCTGACCACCTACATTCCTTTGTTCCACCAGTTCAGACCTTTACAACTAAGACCCACTATACCATCTATGCAGGGAGGAACCATCCTCAATCCCTTTGCATTCTTTTGGTAAGAAGGACGTTTCAATCAAGCATTTTATTCCCAACAGCTGCTACTTTATAGAATAGACTCCCAAGAGGATGCTTCCCTAATCGCTACAATTTTAACGTTTTCAAGTATAGGGTCAACCATTATCTATCCTATGTTTCCTCATAATTTGAACTTCTTAGTACTGCCTGTTATGTTCATAAAAGAACCTCATGCAGTAACCATCTTACATCTTCGAAGAAAGAAGACTCAAAATAAACCTTTCCAAAACAGAAACTATGATTTTGAAATTGGAATGAAAGCAGTGATGGCACTGATCTTGAATCCATCATAAAATTCAGGCTGAAGCTTCTTGACAAATTTTAAAAGTGTTTACGTAACCTTGTTGGTGATGACTTATTTCCCACCCTACAACCTCTTTCCCCACAGACACAAAGTAACAACCCTGTCACTACTTTATCAATCTTTCCTTGGAAAATGTTCTGGTAAGCTGCATTCCTTAGTTCCACCAATTAAGACCCACCATACCATATACACAAGATGTGAACAATCCTTGTTCTCTTCATATTCCATTAGTAAGGAAGAAGCTCCATTCAGACAGTTTATTTCCAAGGGCTACATCTTTGTGGAATAGACTCCCAATCACTGCAATCTTAACCTCTTCAAGTCTGCTATTAACTGTTATCTATCCTACATATCCTCATAATATACACATCTTACCTCCTCCTCTTATGTTCATACAACAACATTCAGTAACCTTCTACCTTGAGTGGCTCTTGGGCGTTGTATTGAGTGAACAATTATTTAAAAAATAAAAGCTTAGACCTTTACAACCAAGACTCTCCTTGTTACATCTACAGGTTTGAATCATCCTCACCCCCCCATATATTCCATCATTAAGTAGGATATTCCACTTTTAAAGCTCTTTCCCAAAACACCTACTTTGTGGAATAGATTCCCAAGAGGATGCTTCCCCAAGCACTACAATCTTAATCTCTTCAAGTCAAAGGTCAATCATTATCTATCGTCCATATCCTCATAATTGTCTCTTTCTGCTACCACCTCTTTCATTCTATCACACACCTCATTCAATTGCCCTCTACCTTGAGTGGCTCTTGGGACTTGTATTAAACTTTTGTAAAAAGCTGCCTTAGCAATAAGCATGTAGGAGGCAGTGTCACAAGATTTGGGAATTCTGTAGAAATCCATTTCAGAATGTGGGTCAGCAATTGTGAAAGTGAGTCTAGGGTGGGGAGTGTTCAGAATCCAAGACAGCTGCTACAAATCAGTAGAAAATTATTGATTTTTCGCAATCACTGATAAGGGAGAGAAAAATAGAGAAAAAAGAAATTGGCAAATCCATGAAAATGGGAAAAATATTTTTACTTATTTTGGAAATAAATTGGTCAGGTGGATGGGAGAAAAGAGGAAGGGAATAAATATGAGAAAGAAAGAAAGAAAGAAAGAAAGAAAGAAAGAAAGAAAGAAAGTGAAAGAAGCAACAAAAGGAAAAAGAGAAGTGCAAGAGGGAAAGAAAAAATGATGCGAAAGAAAGAAAGAAAGAAAGTGAAAGAAGCAAGAAAATGAGAAAGAATAGAGAAAGAGAAAGAGGGGGAAGGCAAAAGAAAGATTAGATAGCAAGGAAGAGAAGAGAAAGAAAGGGAGACAAAAGAAAAAAGAAAGAAAGAGTATAAAGAGACAAAAACAAGAGAAAGGAAGAAACGGAGGCAAGATAAAGAAAAAGAAATGAGAGAAAGGGAGGCAAAAGAAAGAAAGAAGGAGAGAAAGAAGCAAGAAAAGGATGAAAAAGAAGTGAGAGAAGGAAAGAAAGAAAAGGATGCAAAAGAAAGAAAAAAAAAGAGAAAGAATGAAGCAAGAAAATGAGAAAGAGAAGTTGAGAGAGATAAAGGAAGGAAGGCAAAAGAAAGAAAGAAAGAAAGAAAGAAGAGAAGCAAGTGTAAGAGAAAGAAATGGAGACAAAAGAAAAAAGGAAGAATATAAAGAGAGATAAGTAAGAGAAAGGAAGAAAGGGAGGCAAGATAAAGAAATAAAGAAACAAAGTACAAAGAAAAAAAGAAACAAACAAACAAACCAAGGAGAGAGAGGAAGAGAAAATTCAAGAAAGAGACAGTGTGATAATGAAAGGCAAGGAGGGGAGCAAAAGAGAGAGAGAGAGAGAGAGGGGAAAGCAAGAGAGAGAGAAAAGCAAGAGAAATAGAAGAGAGAAAGAAAGGGATGTATGGTAAGACAACCTGATTACCTCCCCTGTTTTATGATTTGCATAAATAAGTCACGCCATCTTAGACAAAACGGCAAGACTCTTCAGCTACATTCAATAAAGGCACATTAAGCCGAACTAGACTCAGAGTTTTCATTACAATTTATTGAACATAATTATGGACAAATACCTTAAACCAGAACGTCTCGACTCTGCAGACTTGTCTTCGTCTGATGCCTAGTAATAATAGAAACAATTATTCGAAGGATTCTTGCTTGCACTGGAAAAGAGTTCATCCACTCCTATTACTGATACAGAGAGACTTAATCTGCCAATGCACCATGTTTCCATATCTGTATAGACCAATATTTCTCACTGCTATGGATATTTTGGATGGAATGTTTGTGAAGAGACGAAACATAATCTTTGCCCGACATGTATTAGCACCTACCCGCCAATCCCCTGAAGAGGGGTTAGAACAGTATATTCAGTGCTTAAAAATCTTAAGCCGATATTGCAACTTTCAAGCGATGACAGCAGATCAGGCAAAGGACGAATTTATCAGAGATTCCTTTATAAATGGATTAGAATTGAACTATATTTGTCAAAGATTGCTGGAAAATAAACTAGATTTAGCTACTGCTCGCAAGCAGGCACTTACCTTGGATATGGTGAAAAAGCAATCTTGTTCATACCTAAAAACAAGTGTTGCTGAGGCTGCACTAAATACTCACACTTCTACTAGTCCACCAGTTCAAATGACCCAAACAGGAAAAAAAAAAGACAGTCTTCTATGACAGACTTCCTCATTTCTGCACCTCCTCCACCAGTTCAAAATCTCTCTCCATCAGTGTCACAGCCAGAAGAAAATGTTATTTTTGTGGTCTCAAACTATGCTCCCGGTCATGTTGCTGAGCCAGGGAAACTAAATGTAACAAGTATGGGAAGAAGGGACATTTGTGAAGGTTTGTCAATTAAGTTTTTTTTCACCTAGTTCAAATACTCCTATTGCAACTAGTATTGTATCAACTGCAAACCCTGAATGTCTTTCAAAGGCTATATTAATGGTAAAACTAAACAGGGTAGTAATGAATGCTCTAGTCGACTCAGAGTTTTATTAGTGCTGATCTTGCAAAAAGAAACAGATTTAAAATTATACATTGTAATAGTCAGGTGGCTATGGTGAACACTTCACTATTTCCACAAGTTACAGAATACATTTTGGCCAACCTATAGTTGAATCAAACTAACTACACTATCATCACATTTTTCATGATGCCAAATCTATGCTGCGATATCATACTGGGCCATGATTTCCTCAAACAGCATTCTAGTATTACTCTCCCTCTTGGGGGCCCTAAACTGGCATTGAACATCTGTGGATTGGCCACTATAAATGTAATACCCCTCTCTTACCGAAAACTCTAAATCAGTGGCCACCAAATTTCAAAAATATTCTCTTGAAGAGAATATGTTTATTCAAGCTGAAATAATAAGAATGTTAAGAGAAGGAATAATTGAAGAAAGCAGATCACAATGGAGGACACAAGTATTAATAACATCCTCTGATAATAATATAAAAAAGGTTGGTTATAGACTACTTTCAAACTATAAATAGTTACACCCTCCTGGATGCATAGCCTATATCCTGTATTGACGAAATAATAAACAAGATCACCAAATACAGAATATTTAGCACATTAGGCCTAAAGAGAGCTTAACACCAATTAGCTATAGACTATAAAGATAAGCCTTATATGACTTTTGAAACCTGCAGACGACTTTATCAGTTCCGACGGATTCCGTTTGGGGTCACTAATTGGGGTTTCCAGTTTTCAGAGGGTCTTTGATAAAATAATCCTTGGAGAAAAATGATAAAGCACCTTTGCCTACATAGATAATGTGGCAGTGTGTAGCCATGACTGGGCTGACCATAATTGCAACCTAAAATGGTTTTTGGTGGCTGTCAAGAAATATAATCTTACACTCAACCATGACAAGAGTTCTTATGGGTTGACAACCATCAGAATATTTGGATATCATGTGGGTAAAGGAATCATGAAACTGGACCCTGAATGCCTAAAACCACTGCTAGAACTACCTATTCTCAACACCATAGCTGCCTTTTAAATGAACTATCTGTATGTTTGCTCATTATTCTCCTTTTCTGAAAAAATACCCCCACTTAAGAAAATTACTAAATTTCCTTTAACTTCTTCTGCCATTAAAGCCTTTGAGGAGTTAAAAAGAGATATTGCCAACTCAGCCATCACTTCGGTGAATCCTGACCTTCCCCTAGAAGTAGAGACTGATGTTTCCGACCATGCCATAGCTGCCATGCTAAGACAATCTGGGTGCTCTGTAGCATTCTTCTCAAGAACATAGTCAAAATCTGAGTGCAGGCATTCAGCTATCGAAAAGGAGGCTTATGCTATAGTTGAGGCACTAAATAAATAGTGACATTTCTAAATTGGTCACTGCTGTAAGTTAACTCTTTTACGTTTAATCCAAAGACGTCAAGCAAAATAAAAAAATGAAAACGTAGCAAGACGGAGGGTAGAGCTTTCTTGTTTTGCGTTTGATATTTTCTATTGGTCAGGAAAAGAAAATGCAATGGTGGACGAGCTGTCAAGAATGAGTGAATCAATAAAGAGCACCAAAGATCTACAAAAAGTTCATAATGAACTCTGTTATCCAGGCATCACAAGGATGATGCATGTGGTTTGAAGCAGGAATTTGCCTTTTTCAGTTGAAGACATGAAACAAATAACAAACGGTTGTCAGACTTGCGCTCGGATAAAACCAAGGTTCTACAAACCTGAACTGGGAACACAGCCATTTGAGAGGCTGAGCGTGGACTTTAAGGGCCTTCTTTCATCTAAATCCTGAAACTGCTATCATTGACGAGTACTCACAATTCCCTTTTGCTTTTCCCTGTCCAGATGTAAGTGCAACAATGGTCATACACTGTCTTTGCTCATTGTTCTCAATATTTGGGACACCAGTTTATATTCAGACAGATTGCAGGACCTCTTTTATGTCCAACCAACTAAGAAAATTCCTATTGGTACAGGAAAAAGCCACAAGCAGAACTACTCCATACAACCCTCAAGGGAATGGACTGTGTGAGAGATACACTGGCATAATATGGAAGACCGTACAGTTAGCACTCGAAAACCAAAACCTTCCAATTAGGCGTTGGGAAGACGTAATAACCGAGGCTCTGTACGCTATAAGAACACTATTGTGTACAAGAACTAATGCAACACCTCACAAAAGGTTTTTTTAAATTTCCAAGGTGAAGTTCAACCGGGATCTCCTTCCCTTATTGGCTCTCACAGCCAGGTACTGTTTTACTTAAAAATAATGTTAAAAAAAGCCAGTATGATTCTCATGGGCGTAAGGTGGAACTGCTCGTGGTGAACCTACTATGTGCGCATCTAGCACCCTGACAGGAGACAATCAAACATTTCTCTCAGATTTGGCCCCTGACATCAATTTATCAAACCAGAGAAAAGAGCAGCTCTTCCCTGAAGCAATATTTCTCCCTCTTGATAGCAATGATGAGACAATGCTATTGGATTCTCTTGAGGAACAAAGGCCCCTATAGTGACTACTAGCAATAGAGCCCGGCGTTGCCCGGGGATGTAACAGTAAGAAATAGATCAAGTATCGACCATTATAAAGACTGAAAAATAAAATTGACAAAGATTATTGTTTAAGGTTGACGGACATGCATGTCTTAATTAGTTTTTTTTTTTTTTTTTACGAATTGGTCAAACCCAAACTCAAACAAAAACATTGTTTTCAATCGTTATGAGTCTACCGATTGAATAGAATTTTATTATAAACAATTGTCTTGTAAATGGAATTTTTAAAGCATTCTGAATATAAAAATAAAGAAAAAAGTGTGCAAGACAATAAGAAACACTACCTGCAAAAAAAGGGAAGTTTTGTTGAAATCGACTGAAAAATGTAGGAAATCCGATCCCATATATAAACGAACACACACACACAACCAACCAACCTGGGTTTTATAATAAGTATAACTCGATATTAATAAGTATAACTCGATATGAGTTGTCCCCCTTTCATTCTGGTGACAGTGATGCCTCTTAATCGTGTTTTCAAATTGATTTTGTGCAAAAACAATTGTGCTTTTCCAATTTTTGGCACTGTCAGAACCACCGCAAGGTAATTTTATGTAGTCCTGTGAAGTTTTGTTGAAATCAGTTGAAAAATGTAGGAAATCCGATCCAATATATAAACGAACAGACATACACACACACACACACACACAACCTGGGTTTTATAATAAGTATGATTCAGAGATCGACACCAGAATAGCTCCCTCAAAATGAGAGCACACTACCACAGACTTTGATAATCAGAGTGTCCCAAACCAAGAAGGAGACAAAAGCAATATGAGATGAAATACTTCTGGCTGACTGTTCCCATAACAACTGAAAGCTCAGATCAGCTGCCAGAAAGATGATCCCAGAGAATTGTCAAGAAACCTAGTCACCTGGATGATTTTGTGCTGGACTAGGAGAAAATAAAGCCGGGGAGAATGTGGTAAGACAACATGATTACCTCCCCTATCTTATGATTTGTATAAATAAGTCACACCAAAATGGCAAGACTTTTCAGTTACATTCAATAAAGGCAACATTAAGCCAAACTAGATTCCATGTTTTCATTACAAAATGAATGTGAGAGAAAAAGAAACAACCTCAAGAAAGAGATACATAAAATTCTATTTGTCAAAATAGAAAAAAATAGAGAGATGGAAAAAAAGGAAAGGAAGATAGAGAGAGAGTGTGTAAAAAAAAAGAAAGAAAGAGGTAAAGAAAGAGAAGTAGGAGAGAAAGAAGGAAGAGAAGTGAGAGATCAAAAGGAGAAGAAAGTGATAGAATGAGAGAAACAGAAGTGGAAGATAGAAGTAAGTGGTGGTGATAAAGAGAAGAAAAGGAAAGAGAAGGAAGAAAGAAAGAAGGAATAAAGAAAGATAGAAGCAACAATAAAGAAAAGGAGAAAGAGAGTACAGGAGACAAATGAGAGAAAGAGGGATATAAAAAGAAATCAGAGAGAGAAGCAAGACTGAGAGAGAGGGTGAAATCAAAGCAACAAAGAAGGAATTAAGATGGCTTCAGCTAATTATATTTTGAACGCAATTGTATGCCTTCAATTACAGATAAAATGTTGGTTATTTTGCTATAAAATGTATTATTGGTAATTCTAAAATATATATTGTTGGTAATTTTTTATATAAAAATGAACTGATGGTATTTTTACAAAGAAAATGTATTTTTATATTTCCATAGTGTTTTCTGGGAGGGAGCACTATTTGCCCATAGCTGGGATCCTAAAAGGTGCTACCACTTCAGGTCAGGTTGGACCTATGAACAATAGCAATTAAGAGGTGGTTTCACACTCCTCAAAACCTCAAATCTCCTGATCAGAGGCCTTGCTGGCAGATGTAGTTTGCCATTATACCCAGGAACACTCCCAATCAGAGTTCTTGCTGCTGGATGTAGTTTATCATCCTACCCAGGACTATTCACTCTTGAATGAGGACATATAGTTGCTTTGTAAAAGTTTCTTGGTAGGCTTTTCAGCCATATACACATTGCCACTTTCATCTACTAATCTTTGGGCAATTACTGTATTCTCTGAATTGTGCAGTATTTATTAAATTACTTATACATTGGCATGAATAATTCTATATTTATATTTAAGCGTAATATTTCTCTTGTTTTATGAAAGAGGATGTAATTTTCAAAATTGTAGGAAATGCATTTCAAGTCATATCGTTTGTTTTGTTCATCATTGACTATTGCTTCAGTATCATTGATTTCTTTCCCTATCATTTATCATTCAAACATTTTCAGCTACATTTGCCAGTAATTTTATTTTGTTATTCTTTTCTTATTATATTGATTGTAGTAATGTAACATTTTTATGGACCACATATTTTCAGATTTGTAGGAAAAGTTGAGTCATAACATTATTTTTTTGTATACTTTTTTTTCAGTCATGAATTGCTTCCTTTGTTATTTATCTCTTAAATATTTATTTTTAGAAACAACAATAATAAAAAATATTCTCATATTGTTATATAGGAATAAAGTGTCACTGCTGATACTGGAGTTTGAACACAGATCACCAAAGAACAAACACAGGCGATCCCATTTTGAATAAGTAGATCACATGATAGTAAAGGAAATGTATATATGGGAATTAGTGTGGCGTCTAAGTGATTACTATATGGATTACTATTTGGATCACTATATGGATTACTATACGGTGGTTACTATTAGTGTGAGTGTTATTCAAAGGTATCTGACACTAGTATTGTTCAATGGCATTACTATAGTTGTATCTGTGATTATAAAGTCTCTGCTACAATGAGCATTACAAAAGTGATTAGTATTCGTTGACGTTACAAAAGTGGTAACAAGTGTTCATTGAAATCACAAAACATATATTTAATGATAATTTTATACTTTTATTAGTTTTGTTCTTTTCTTATTTATTGATTTGTTTCTAATTATTGTTATTAAAGTAATATTAAGCCAAAATGGTACATTTGATAATAAACTGCTCACTCCGACATTCAGTGTAAAATATATATGATCATTCCTTGTCATGGTAGAGGGCTTACTTATCACAGTGATCCCAAGTATGAAGCTGTCTGGAGTTCCAACTCCCATAGGGCCACCAATAGTAATAAGATGGAATAAGAAGGACCCGACTGAATGTGACCAACTCCGAGGACAACAGAATAGGCAAAGATCTAAACAATCTCAATGGCCAAACCAGTAGAAGAAGGCAATGCCAGTTGAGATGGTGTAACCAATGTGGACCTTGACAGAAGAAGCATCTGAGAGTTTGATACAACCAGCTTTGTCAGATCTCGCCTGTCTCAATCCCCTTTGAGCCACGAGGGAGGTACTTCTGACCAAGTTTGTGGGCTTCTCGTTTGAGCAGAGTTGTCCTTCAAAATCAAATTCACACAAATAGCCTTGTCAAACTCTCTTTGATTCACAGCCATCTCTACCACTGGGGCTGGGAAAGAAAGGGGATAGAGAGAAAGAATGATGATCCTGATACTCAGACATGAGCAATCACTGACAGCAATTTCAGAATCTCTTAGGCACCAACCATTCTCTACTACACCCTTGTTCAAATTAATTAAAACAACCGCTTTAGTTTTTCTTTCTTTCACCATACAGTTTTTTTAGACCCACTGGAGTGACAGGGTGTAATTGATTTTTATTTTTTCCTCAGATTAGGTGATTTGCAGTGGTGTGCAGTAATATGAATCTATTTTTGGGGTGTATGATGAAATTTGTTTGGCCTTGAAAAATATTGTGTCATCCGTGATTGCAGCAGATTTTTATCATGCCCAGACACTATTATCTCGAACTGTCGATTAGTTGTCCTACGGCCATTGTCTGTGATGGACATTACTCCAAGGAAGTGTACAAAAATTGTAATGCTGCACAAACTCACTGGCAAGCCTTACCAGTGAGAAAATCAAAGTAATATAGGCTGGCCCGGAAACTCTCCCGATTTAAATCCAATCGAGAATCTGTGGTCAATCTGCAAGGAATGACTTTGTGGAATGGACATACAAAGTACTAACATGTGCACTGAGTCATGTTTCATTGGAAAAATACAAAATTGTAAATAATAATGGAATTATTAATTTTGTTTCAATTAATTTGCACAAGGGTATAATTCAAATAAAATAGTTTTGTCCAAGAATGGTCAAAGACTAAATTAAAGGGAGAGGAAATAAATCTGAATATTTAATAAAATAAAAATATTTAATAAAAGAGATGGTTAGAACAAGGATATCCCAGGTTAATTTCCCACTCACCACACTTAAAAAAATGTCCTGGCCCACCTATTTGAAACTCACACATAAGCTGATGCCAATGTTTGTTTTACTTTAAGTTAGAAATTTTTGGTCGTGAATCTCTTCTGGTCCCTTTCACAATCATCAGAATATAATTCATCACAGATGTGACTCTCATAGAAATAATTCTCCATAAAGAAAATGCATTTGTCATAAAATGCACAATTGGAATTGTTCTGGGAAAGTGTGTCATGGAAGTAGAATCCAAATCTAAAATCTGGAATTAAAGACTATGAACACATATTTAAATTACCTTCTTTTACAGAATATAACCAAAATTGAAATCCTAAAGATGCAGTTAAAGATTGAAAATCTACTTAACATTTTTTATTTGGACCACTATAGAAGAGTCAGTGTGTCATAAAGCATCATATAGAATCAAAAACTTGGAAATGTGATTAAAAACAAAGAGAATCAACATTAAAATCCTTGTTTGGCATTGCATGACCATTATATAGGAGTCAGTGTGTCATAAAACCACATTCAGGATCAAGACCTTAGAGATGATATTAAAGCCTATGATAGTTTATCAAGAAATTCATGACCATTATGTAGGAGTCAATGTGCCATAAAACCATATTCAGAATTAGAATTTGGAAATTGGATTAAAAACTATGAGAATCTATATGAAAAGCCTTGTTTGACACTACATGACCATTATAGAGGAGTCAATGAGCCATAAATTCATATTTGTTCATTAGCCCTAAATCTGCTAATTTTAAATTTGTTTATATTCTAGACTTCTGTATTTGTTTCTCATGAAAAAAAATGACACTAATAATTTGGACAATTAAAATCCAACAAAAATAATATCCTAAAAACTTTATGAATTTTTTGAGTTAGAAAAACGTCTGCAGATGAGAAGAGGATTGAAACCTGAATGTGAAAAGAACATATTCAGCCACAAGGTTGATTTCAATAAAATTGTGTCGCTTTTGGGATTCATTCTGACTTAAATCAGATTGCATTTTGAAAATTGTGACTGACTTTCAAAATTTATTGTTTAAGGTAACAACAAAAATGCATTTACATCGATGTAAGAAGTCATTAAAATTAGCGGCAGGATAAGGATTTGAAAACAGGAAATGGGGAGAGAGAGAGACAAATGAAAAGAGACTTAAAGAAAGAGAGATGGAAGCAGATTGCAAAATAGGGAGATATAAAAAGATTGAGAGGAAGAGATGGGGACATACTGTAATAGAGAGGCAGAGACAGAGACAAATTAGAAAATACTGAGAGAGAGAGAGAGAGAGAACAGGATGAAAGAAAGGAAGACGTACAAACAGACTGTGATAAAGAAATAAAGAAAGCAAGGAACAGGTTGTGAGAGAGAAAGAGAGAATGAAAGGCACAAACTGAAAGAAAGAAAGAAAGAAAGAAAGAAAGAAAGAAAGAAAGAGGAACAGGTTGTGAAAGAGAAAGAGAGAATAAAAGGAATAAACCGAAAGAAAGAAAAAAGAAAGAAAGTGGAATCAGTTGTGAGAGAGAAAGAGAAAATGAAAGAAATAAACTGAAAGTAAAAAAGAAAGAGAAACAGGCCAAGATAGAGAAAGAGAGAATGAAAGCAACATAAATCAAGAAAGAAAGAAGAGAGAGAGAGAGAGAAAGAGAGAGAGAGAGAGAGAAAGAGAGAGAAAATGATTTAGCTCATCCTCTGTAAATATGTATCTGTATATATTAATTACACATTAAAAATAAGAATTTATTTCAATCAGAAAAGCCAATGACTAAATCAAATTGAATCAATGAAGAGCTCTCTAAAAAAAAAAGGTAAAATGTGTCTGATATTCTTTAAAATTAATGTTTGGAATATTCACTGCTCTTTACTAAATCTACATTACCAGTATAATGGACCATTCAAATACACAATCAGTATAATTGACCAATCAAATACATTATCAATTTAATGGACCAATCAAATACATTGTCAGTATAACTGACCAATCAAATACATTCCTATGTATACATTGTAATGCAAGAAAAGCAGATGTGTAAGCTTCAATATGAAACTCAGCATAGTTTTGCTATATAACAAAAGCATAAAAACATGTAACATATAAACAACAAGTACAATTAAGACAAATTTCAACAAATGAGTAAAGTCACTGAAAATCAAAAGATTTATCATTTTTAAATTTATTTTCACTTACCAAACATGAACTATAAACAAATGTACATTTTAAATTAGAAATCATTTGAAAGAAAAAAACATTCATCTTTAAAAAGGACATTTTCATAAAATCCAATAATTAGAATTTTCAGCCAGTTCCATTGATAGAAAAATTATTCAAAATTCATTTATGATCAATCTACGATCAATTTTCAGTTTTTTTTTTCTTTTTGGAGAGGGAGGAAAATGGCCAACTTTGAGGCATTTTTTTATTTCTTGTCAACTCAGCAAAGGGCAATATCATTTTCTCAATAGCCTTTGGGATGTGTATAATTTAAAAAAAAATTAATGCAGCATTTGGTGAATAAAAATGCATTTCAAGAAAACATGTCAAGAGATCAGCACATCAAGTTTTCTTTCTAAAGCCAATACCAATTTTTATGATGTGATAAGTTTTACTAATACAGTAGGTAGCAGAGCTGAACCTTTGCCATTATATAAAAATATTTAACTTTGGTTGTTCTCATTATTTCCTCTTGTCTTTTAAAAATAATGAACATCCTAAGATTTTATATAATCAAGTTGAATATATTTGAGACAAACCTTTAATCTTTTCTCTCATCTAAGGATTATATCATTCAACTAACTATACTAGGCTAAGAGATCAGATAAGCCCTTAATCCTTTCTCTCATCTAAGTATTAACATAAAGTTAACTTTTCCAGCCTAGATCAGATAAACACTTAAATATTTCTCTCATCTAAGAATTATCATCCAATTGACTTCTCCAATCAAGATATCAGATAAGCCCTTAAATCTTTCTCTCATTCAAAGATTATCATCCAATTAAGTTTTCTGTGCTGAGAGATCAGATAAGCCCTTAAATCTTTCTCTCATCTAAGGATTATCATGTAATTAACTTTTCTGGTCAAGAGATCAGATAATTCCCTAATTCTCTCATCTAAGGATTATCATCCAATTGACTTCTCCAGACAAGATATCAGATAAGCCCTTAAAACATTCTATCATCTTAGGATTATCTTCCAATTGACTTTACTGGGCTGAAAGATCAGACAAGCTCTTAAATCTTTTTCTTGTCTAAGGATTAGCATTCAATTAATTTCCCTTCTCAAGAGATCAGATACATTCAGATATTTTCCTTGTCTTGGTTGTTGTTATCATAATGTTTTGTCCATTGTGGCCTCCTGGTTACATCTGGTGCATATTGATCTGGATAACTGACAGGGAATTCTGAACTGAAATCTCTTTTTTAATCTATGGGGGTAGACTCTTCTTGTTCCAAGAACTAGACAAGATATCCATAGATATTGGCAGTGGAATGAGAAAAGTCTATTACTATAGATTAGATAAAGGGTTTGGTTCAGAATTCCATGTAGGTTACAGATTGATATACAACTGAGGAAGGTTGAAGAGCACAATAGCCAAAATGTTGTGATAACAACAGCAAACATGAGGACAATAGTCTGCTTGTAAATAATGTAAATAATGATAAGTTTTTGTCCCAGAAATTCAGACAGAGAATATCTTTAGTTTCCATTTTGGAATCAGAGCAGAAAATTTTAATTTTCCTGAAAAGAAAGAAAGTCAAATTCATAGATTTATAAAGAAAGAAAAGAATTTAAATACATTTTGTGGATTTTTAAAAAGAAAAAAGAAAAAAAAAACTTGCAAATAGATTGAAACAAATGAGAAAAAATACCTGTTAACAATTTGATAAAAGAAAAATCAAAACATTCAACTTAAGTGAGACATGATGGTTGATCTACAATCATTAAATTGTTATTGAGTTTTGGGATCAAAATTATTTTTGTTTGTATAAAAATTCAATTCAATTTATTAATTTTGAGATCAAAATGAAACTGCAAAGCCTTGATCAGTTTTACATTGTCATCGATTATAAAATTCAATCTGACCGTAATTAATTCAGAGTTAATCAGCTGGTTATTACTACACTTGTCCCGTAATGGTTGATACATTTAATATATGAAATGTGTATGCAAATGTAACAACTATTATGGGACAAATTAATATATATTAGTAACACTGTCTCATAATGTTTGATACATTGATGGTATGAAATGTGTATGCAAATGTACAATTATTATGAGACAGAGTAATATTTATTAGTAACACTGTCCCATAATAGTTGATACGTCTAGTGTATGAAATGTGTATGTAAATGTGACAATTATTATGAGACAAATATATATATATTAGTATCACTGTCCCATAATGGTTGATACGTCTAGTGTATGAAATGTGTAAGTAAATGTACAATTATTATGGGATGGAGTAATATATATTAGTAACACTGTCCCATAATGCTTGATACGTCTAGTGTATGAAATGTGTATGCAAATGTACAATTATTATAGGACTGAGTAATATATATTAGTGACACTGTCCCATAACGTTTGATACGTCTAGTGTAGGAAATGTGTACGCAAATGTAACAATTATTATGAGACAAATTAATATATATTAGTAATGTGACACTATTTAGCTATGGCAATTGGCTAACTAATTAACCATAGTAATTAAAACAGGAAATACTTAAGGCGAAAAAGAGCTATCCCGAAAGATAGAGTGATCAATGTTAAAACAAGATTTTATTTTCTTTACGAAAAAGTTACCTTTCACAAAAAACAGTAAATCTGTAGAAAAAGCCATATGTGAGATTTTATCAAATTGATTAATATTGTTGTAAAGAAGTGCCTTGCCAAGAGAAATGGGAGAATTCGGAAGGATAAACAAAGCATTAAGATATCAGGCAGACACATGGCGGTCGTAAAAATTTCAGCATGAGATGATTGCCGATACAGAGTAGGGAGAATCAATATTAATTATCTTTCCAAGGTATCATTTATTTTTTTCCTGAGTGCCAGCAAGGAAAAGCAATGTGGTGATTATAAAATTTTGGCATTTGTCTCAACATAGGTGGAGAGGATTGTTATTATTTACTTTACCAACATGTCGCTTCAGATGCTGGGACGTTGAATAGCAATATGGCGATTATAAAATTTTGGCATGAGACAGAAAATAGAGTAGAGAATTGTGATTTGGCGAGATAAAGAATTTAATCTCTCAACAAGCCAAGGGTTCCATTATAAAGCTAACTTCATGAAGGGACCAGATGGCAAACTTTGACAGTGATTGATGGAGTTGGTAGAGAGTGCTGGCTAAGTGAATTCTGGGTGGCCAAAAGATATGATAGAAATTTAATTGGCAATATGGAATTCATAAAAATTTTAGCCAATGCGAAAAAGGAGAATTTTGTAAACAAAAATTCTAGATTATAATTTTAAGGAGACCAGCTTAGCCACACCTGCACAGCCGGGATGCCATTGGTTGAGTGGTAGCAATGGTGATAGGCGGAGGTGAATAGATAAGAAAGACAGAGAAGTTATTAAAGCCCACTGAAGGGATTGGTATGAGATATCAATGTGAGAGAGAAAGAGTTTAGGAGGATAGCTCTCCTCTGACCTTCCCTCATGGACAATGGAAACCTCCCCCCACCCGAAATGAAAAGTGATTAATTTTCCAAAAATGGGAAGTAATCACTTTTCCTGGCCTGACAACAAAGAGATTTCTTGTTGGGAATTGAGATTTACAGAGAACCCCAGGCTGCGTCTGGCCCTGCACCGAGTTTTGGTCGGTACCCATATAAACGAACGTCTTCGGGCAGTTAGTTGGAGTTCTGAGTTGCAGTCGCAGTTGAGCTGGTTTTGGAGTCAGAGCATAACCAGAGTGTTGCCTCGTAGAAGCTGACCAAGAGATTCCACAACCTCCGACTTCGCCTATCCTACCAATAGCAAGTTATACTGACGAATGAAGCCAAGCCAACACCTAAGAACTAAATCAGTTGATTTAAGAGACCAACTTGCTTGAAACATAGAAGTGTCACATTTCATAGAAAATGGGCTGGGAGAAAAACACACTCCTGTATATAATAGAAGGATAAAGTTAATTTATTATTTCTTAACATAATTGAACCTCTTGGGGTTTTTTATTTCTTTTTTTTTGTCCTTTGCTCTTGTGCGATACCACCTTCAGTCTGGACTCAGCCTACACTACGGCCCGACGCCTGAATTAATCTCATCTACCTAAGATCAAAGTCACAATGTGGGTAGGTTAGACTTCAGATCGAAGCAGTTACTCCAGTAACCAGACGTTGCAAGTGAGCTGGGAATGATAGAGTTGGTATTGAACCAGTACAGCTGGTGAAGCCGTTAACATCGACAACCAGAATTCGACTCTGGGTGGGCCAGTGTCCCACTTTGGTATCCTGACCAGGGGATTTCACCAAGTAGCAACGACTACCGATCGACCAGGACAAAGGCTGGTGGCGGTGACAAAGAGTCGACCCCAAAACTCTGGTAGAAGGAATATTACAGTTTTGCGCCGCGGCTGGGAGTTGACCACAGGTCTATGGCTGGGTGTCACAGTAACACTGTCCCATAATGGTTGATACGTCTAGTGTATGAAATGTGTATGTAAATGTAACAATTAGTATGGG